CGGGAAGGGGCCCCGGGGGGGGGGGGGGTAGGAACCACCCGGGGTGGGCGGCGGGGCCACTCAAAGAGGCTGGAAGAACTTGGGAAGAACCTGGGAAGGAGATGAGAGGGCTGAGGGGCCGATGGGCAGATGGGCAGATGGGTAATAACCGGGACGGGAACATTGAAACTGCTGGTCAGCCATCACTTGTAACAGCAGGAGTGAGTAAAATTGTAAAAAATATTTGTGTACTAGTATTGGTCTCTGACGACTCGAATCCAGCTCTAGAATGTTGGACCTGGAGCTAGAAAACGCGTGCAGAGGACGAACCAACATGTTGTGCATATGCAAGGTCAGAACAGGAGCTCGTCTTGGCCCTGACGTCGTGTCGCAGATTCGAACAAGGCAAGCACTCGGGCTTTCATTGTCTTGCGATGGATGGAATTCGTTTCGGACAAGGACAAGTCAACACAGCTCTATCAATTCATGTAATCCTGTGTTCGAGTTTTGTTTGATAGCGGAGATATTTGAACATGTTCCATTTGCGATTTGATGTGCCGGAGTACCCAAATCCGATGTTACGGACCATGTTTGCGCCCACGGACTTTAAATCCATGACTGCACCAGATGCATGCACACTGGCCCAGGTTCAAGCGTTTCGTCAAAACCTCTAACCTTTCATCATCCATCCCCTTGGATGTGCGATGTTTGTGATAGCATGTAGCATCAATTGATCGGTCCAGCGCAATGTCCATGGCCCGGTCTTTCAATGTTCCTCTGACCGTTGAGCATTCTCTTTCCGAACATTCCATGTTCCGAATTGACTCCTACGGGATGCAGCCGCTCCTTCCCCCCAACTACCTGCCTACCTAGGTAGGTACCTAGGTAGGTATGTAGGTATGTACGCTCGACTGTCCAATGTCGTGTCTTTGGCCCCAGGTGCCTGCATGTGGTTCCGCCAACCACCTGCGCAGAGGGAAAAGCAGCCTTGTCGCTGCCAAAGCCATCCTCTCGGTACCCCGTACTCCGTGCACGTCTCAACGTCAAGGTTTTGCAATCCACACACCACCACGAATGTTGGAGCGATTGCACCAGCACCACGAGCATTTAATAGGACGCAACTTAGCGTCGACCGGCCGTCCAGATTGGTGGTAATCCATCCTTTGAACTTAGATTTTATTCAGGTACCACCAGGCACGACGCACCAGGGCGCGGCCGCCACCCGTTAGCCAGGTTCAACCAGGTTCATCGCTAGTTCACAGCTCGCAGCTCACACGGTTCTCGCCCTCCCCCCCCTGTCAATCGTGCCCATAACCTACGTGCCCGTCCGCGTCCTCCCCCGTCAACCGCCTGTCGTCTCTCGTCGTCGCTCCGCTTGCCAATTTCTAAGACCCTGGTCGCGCTGGGACGTTTTGCTCCCAAGTGCCTCTCTGGCTCTCTGGCGTCTCTGCCTTGAATTTCCCTGCTTTGCTTTTTACCCTTCCCCGTCAGGTCAGTACGGAGTAAGCTATTTTTTTCATCTCAACAGCCCCGTCATCTCTCCGTTTTTTCTCACCCTTTCCTCTAAGAATCCTCTTGATACATTGCCTGTTCCAACAACTACTGGAGCCACAATATATCCCCCTTCCGCATCGACGACTTCGACTCGTTGTTCTTCAACGGCGTCGTTGCAATCTCACCTCCATTGGTATAGCCTCCCGGCGTATCTTGCTAATGATGACAGGCTGTGCCGATAGTTGAGACAATCTCCTTGTCAACATCTGCCGTGAGGAACTCCACACACCGGTCACTCGCTCCTACAGAAAGATACCAATTTATTGCCATTTTGGCATCTCCATTTTCACGAGACGCCTTTCCACGCTGGCTTCCTCTTCTCGTTCTACCTTTCTACCTTCTTTTCTTCGTCAGAAAACGCCGAATTCACTTTATTGAGAGGCTGTTATCTGCCGTCACTTCGATATTGCACATTCATCTGCACCTGACTGGAGTCGACCAGAATTTCCTGGTGTACGCGATAACCATCTTTTCTCACCCACGGCGCGTATTGCGATACGTCTAATCCGATTGAACCCGACGTGGCTGCAACGTCTTCTTGTTGCATTCATGCAGCACGCTCTAGCTTTCAGAGTTTCAATTTTACATCTGAGCCTTTGTTCCAGGTATGTTGGACTTCTTTCGCCGACGCTCAGAGCTAGTACCCCATGACGTTGATAAGAGCAGGCAGCCGTCAAAGGCTTGCGTCTACCAGTCTGCACCTGAGCACGGACAAGCTCTTCTGCATCAATATGTCGCTGGTTCCACACAATCAATTCTGACAAATGCATGCGTGTATGAACATTTTACTAACTAAAACTTTCAACAGGATAGTTCCGTCTCTCTTTCACTTATAATTCAAGCCTGTCGATTGCCTAATTGCTGTCATTCTCATGAATTGAAGCACCGACAAATATCACATTGGTGATCGAAATCCCGATATTTTGCCTCAGGGTGTATTTTCCCGTTCTTATTCGTCTGGGCAGTCATCAATACATCGCCAAAATGAACCGCTTTCGAACCAAGAAGAAGGGGAGGGATGACAACTCCATTGTTGGCCGCCCGTCAATAGATGCTGAGCCGTCTGGTCCCTTTCGCATGTTTAGCAAGAAGAAAACACAAGATGAAGAACCTAAATCAGAGATTGATCTGTCCGCGGCTTTGCCATCTAGTGATAACTTTCGGACTAGTCTCCTAATGACCGGTTTATCAGCCCGCTTCTCCATGCTTCGAGAACAGGATGACCCGAATAGCAAGCTTGGTAAGGCCAGCGACGACAGTGTTCTCTTTCCGAAGCGACAATCAAGGCTAGCGGATTTTGGTGTCTTCGCAGGCGGGCTCGACGATATTGCGGAAATCGAGTCGTTAAAGGCGCCCCCACTGGGCCGATTTGACTCCTATCAGTCGGATGATGCATCCTCAACAACAGGCAGCATAATGGGCCGCAGTAAACCTACAGAAGGGAACAATCTCTTTGGTGGCAGACAAAAGATCTACAAGCTTGCGGCGGGCTCTAAAGCTGGCATGACTGGTAGAGCACTCTACGACGACGACGTAGCACAGTCATCATTTCAGAAATGGCGACAAGCAGAAAAGGAGCGCAAGTCATTGGAAGAAAGCCAGAATAACGACACATTTGACGCGGAAGCTACGCTGAATTACAGTCGACGCCGGGAGACGAGCTCCACAACCTCATCTGTTCCTTCAGGAGCTCGAAACTCGACAGCTGCAACTTCAATCGCCTCTCAACCATCATCAATTAAGGAAACCTCATCCAATATCCACTTGGCGGGCCTTGAGCGAAGCGTTACTCGAACCCGCCGGCTCTATGAGCAAGGGTTGACGCAGGACCTGCAGGACCAACAAACTTCAGCTCTATCTCGGATGGATACATTGTCACGGCAGCGGCCCTTCGGCTCGCGAACCCCAGACCCGGCCTCCATTGTTACTTCACCTACGACCACAACATTTGGCGACCGTGTAACAGACCGTCGACCTATCGTTTCCAAGGCTAGCGCACCTAATCTACGGTCATTTAGCCCCTCTACGATGAGTTCCTCCCAAATGAGCCCTGTCGACTCAAGCAGCAAATTCCCGAGGCAAGACACAAAGCCTATATTTGGAGGGAACCCTCCTCTGAGCCCACCCATTAGTGAAACCGAGGAGCATGCAGCTCTTGCTATCCAACCTAATGACCGTGGTAAGGCGACGGCAATGGGTGTCTTCAGTCGACCAGCAATGCAGTATGACGAATCACGATATACCCAGCGACAACGTCAACTCCAGCAGGGACGAGACTCGTCTACTTCTCGACACACTACAGCGTCGGCAGGTTCTTCTGTTGAAGGCAGGTCTCGCTCATCATCCGCTCAGCGACCGTCAGTAGAGAAGTCCGCTCCAAAAGCTACACCTTCTGAGACCTCCACACTCAATGAGAACTACGGCAGCACATTCTTCGATGATAGCGACGACGGGTCCATAAACAACCGAGCCTCTGCTGCCCCCCAGCTGAAAATTGACCGCCCAAATGATCACGATCATCCGGCTTTCCGTAAATCTGCCCTTCCCACCCCTTTATCGTTGACATCGCCCAAGGACTCTGAGGATGGCAGTTCTCTCTCACCGGCACCGAAGACCGAACCACCGGAAGATTCTCCCACATTGGGCCCCAACGCAGGTCTAAGTGGTATGGTTCGACAACACCTGCGACACGATAGTACCGCCTCGTCTGTGTATGGTTCGACGAGCCACGAAGTAGCGCCGAGCGTCACAGAGGCCAATGCCGTCTCCGGAAGGAATGATGCTGATGTCTCCAACGTTGTCAGTGCATTAGAGCAGGATGAATTCGCTCAAAATCTAGCCGAACGTGCTCAACGTGTTCGTGAACGACTGACATCATACGTTGAATCGGATAATGAGCGTTCTGCGCCGCCCACCCCCCCTCAATCAGAACACAATAAGGAACTTGCCTCGTCCAAGTCGGGCAGTCTTGGTATGTTACGGTCAAAATCAAGCCGAGGGTCCCTTATGGACAAGACCGATAAGGAGCGTGGCCGCAGCAAGACGCTCAAGTCTCCCAGGCCCCAGCCCGCCCCAGTCGCCAAATCACCGTCCCCAAGGAAGGCTTCAAGCAGTCAAGTGGAACCACGAAACGGTGAAGTTTCTATTCATTCAAATGAGCCAGCATTGCCTGCAAAGGAGGATAATGTTCACGTAGGCTTGAAAGCTTTCCGCCAAGCCCGCCGAGAACTACAGAAAATGAAAGAACTGGAAACACAACAGCGGCATTCACAGAAGCCCAGTCCCAACCAGGAGCGTCCTCCTAACAGCCGGGTAACCTCATACGAGAGTGGTCCACCACCTGCAATTTTCAACCGCATGCCACGAGATGGCGAAAGCTATGGAAGTCGATCTCGAGCCGGTTCCCAGGCGGCCTCTGAGCGTGACCGAAGTGGCTCTGAAACCAGCAATAGTGGACGCACGTATAGCCGGGCCCCAGGGCTTCGCAACGGCTCTGCAACCTACGAAGATCACTATGGCCGGCGAGGACTCAGTGGCTCGCCCGGGCCAGATGTTAGACGCCAGCCCATGGAGTCATCTGGTATGTCTCCGTACATGTCGACTGGACCTTCTCCAGTTATGAGTCCAAGCCATGGCGTCGGCGGATTTGAAGCCCCTGGGAGGCATTACTTTCCAGTCATGCAGACCCCTCAGCAACCAGATATGCATGCATTTGCAAGAAGCCGTAACGGCAGCTTGCTCGGCGCTGCGGCATCAACCCCAAACTTGCATGGCGGTCCTGGAGCACCGCCTTTGCCACCTATTAACCCTCGCCGTAAGAATGGCCTTCGGAGACCTAGTGACGAAAACCTAGGACATCATATTCCTAATAGAAATTTCGGAGTGGGAGAGAAAGATGTTGACGAGTCCTACAGAGGCCGAATGCCCATGAATGGACACCAAAGTCGACAAAGTCCTCCTAGAGTGGTCCGGCCAGCTATACCACACCATGCCATGCCGAGCGCAAGCCTACCGGGAGGCATGATTTGATCAACTTGATTATTTGCCTTGGGCAACTACGCTGTTCTCGGCCACACTGCTTCTCCTTCTCCTCTGTCTTTGAAATATCTATTACTCCTGACTGGTGGAAGTTTCAATGACTCCGACATGACAAATGTATACCAAATTCCTCGGCCATAGGGTCACGCACACTACCATCTTGAGTTCAAACTCTAACAGGACAAATCTTTGTAATACGAATGACGGCCCTTTTTTTTTTTTTTTAGCCCAAATCGGACGAAAGCATGTATGAACGGCACGCAGCGAATGTCTTGCGACCGAATCTGGCCTTCTCTTTGCTTCTTTTTCTTTTCTATCTATATATCTTCAACTCCTGTCTCAAATATTTATTACCTATGAATGTGTGATTTCCCCTTGCGTTCTCGAATTTTTTTCTTTTCATGTTGTTTTCTGGAGACGTCTGTTGCATCTCAACGACCAGGACGCCTTCTGCAACTAAAAGATCAGGCTGGTATTTGATCTAGTCTCCTGGCGTCGGAAAATGCTCCAGCAATGGAAGAACAAAACAGGAAGGTCTTTGAAGAATGGACAAGGCGCAACATTTAACTTGAGGATATCGCGAGTCGCATATAAAGGATGCTATGGGGTTAAGGAAAACAATAAGATGGACAATCCTGGTGTATTAAACAAAACCCACATATGTACACATATAAGCAATTGATAAAATTTGATGGAAGGATGCAGTTGGGCGGCGGTGAAGCTGTGAAAACGAGGACGACGGCTGCTAGTGTTACTGCATCTCGGATATACTCAGGGGTCATGTGACTGCAAGGCAATGAGGGCATGCGCATTATGCTAAAGCGGACATGGAATGTGACTATGATGAAAAATGAGACGTGATTGAACCGAGGCAGGTTAGTATTTGTAATGGGCTGCTGGGTTTGGTTTCAGTTATCTACTGGCACGGGACATGCGCGTCGTGCTGTCCAAGTGCTTTGGCTGTAGTATTCAACGCGTATTTCCCGTCAGAAGGAACTTGAAAAGTATGCACTAATCGTGCCCGGTACTTGTGGAGGGGGCAAGAGACCTCGGCCAGATCTGACATGGGTGTAATGTTGTCTTTGTAGTCGAATTGCATTGCAATAGACGGGATGCAACGTGGGGGTTTGTTTGGGGGTGGATGGATGGATGGATCACGTATGCATATGTGAAGCGTGGGGAGGCGGAATTGGGGGCAGGTTACGGAGTACATACATGGCACAAGAGTAACTAGGGGGACTGGCTATTGGATTGTAGTTGTTTTTCTTTCCTTCCTTCCTTTCTTCTTCCTCGTTGCTTATTCAAGCGGAGGCTTGTCTTGTATCATTACATCAAAGAGCTTGCCAGCTACAACTACCGAAAGTGGAGAACTCCTCCGGTAGTGCAGGCCCGCCATCTCTCCTCAAAACTCGTCACATCTTGGAACCGCCATTGAGCTTGGATGCACGTGCTGTTTTCAAGTCGTCATGGCATAAGTCTCTTTTTTCTTGTTTTCCGGAGACGCGAGGAAAAAATTGGCATTTATACGAACCTACCGGGCGTCTGACTTTGAGGCCACGGCACGGCTTGTATGTTCCTTGAACCCGCACCACGTCTCGCGGGGGCTGACGGGATTGTGGTGCCGCGAAACGCTGCCGGCGGACGTGGCGACGTCGCGGCTCCTGCGGCGTCTTGGCGCCGTACATCTGGACGCATCCGTACACGCACCTCTCGCTCTGCTTCGTGCTGGACGGCGTCGACGTGTCGCGGAGGCTAGACTGGGCGGTGGACGGTAATGAGCGCCTCTTGGCCGAGGGTTATAGGGCCACCATGCACATTGATCTGCTGACCGAGTGGCAGGGCAAGGGCTGGGGGAGGAGGCTGATTGAAGGGTTTGTCGAGAGCGTGAGGCCGGCTGCGATGGCGTAAGACGGTGCGGCGGCGAGCAAGGGCATTTGCATTGGGGTCGGCGCGTCCAATGCAAAGGTTGTGCCGTTTATGAGAAGCAGGGGTTCCGGGTGAAGCAGAGAGAGGTCGAGGGCCGGACTATCACCATGGTGAGAGACTATTCAGATTGAGGAATACGTATTTGTGCATGTGAGAATGAATCGTAGTTTGTGCAAGTCGATGGTCATGTTTGAAGATTAAATGCTACGTGAGACATGGCACGTGCAATAATCACTCAGGTCTAATCATTTGGGAGATTCAAACTTTTCTTTTTCTTCCTGCCTGACTCTAACTAAGAAAATTGGACGACACACCAAGTTACTTCAGGATTTCTTCGGTTGGTCTTGACATCGGGTGGAAGGCATCGTACATGTCGATAAGCACAAATCGAACAAATCATCGAAAACAAGTTCCGCGACCCGTTTGCGTGCCCAGCGCCGAAAACCGAAAAAAAGAGAACTATCAAGACTTCAAGGGACAACCTTGCGAATCCAACGCCTCCGCCGGCAAAACGCCTCATTCCCTGCCAATTGCTTGCTGATGCAAGGAGCTCCGTCAAGATTGTTGCTTGTAAGCGAGAACAGAGGAACACATGTTCCATCCCCCACCATGCTCAAACGCCTGCTCTTTCGTATTCCGCAACTCCCCGTACTGGTGTTACATGTAGTAAAGACAAGGCTTAGAAAAGAAAAATAAAGTCGGGAAACAAAGTCGCTCTGGAGGAAAATACAAAATCGCGGTTGCTTCGTTATGATTGAAGGGGGGTATCGCAGCCTTGGATATCGGCTTTGGTAACAGGAAAAAGTGACCTGGATATCAAACGCAGCGAAAATTCATCGAGTTCGCTAGGAGCCATAATACATTGCTGAGAAGAAACATGTTCGTGTTATCGTGCCCCGTGGGCAAATAGTCCGAAGCATAGATAGGACCTTGTGCTCAAATCGCCCGTCGTTTATGGGCGACGGGGGCGGGCTCGTCTTGTTGGAACGCACTCTTGAGGGACGAGAGGTCAACCTCTACGCCTTACGAGGCAGGGCAGTTGTTGCATTGCTTGTGGCCGCAGGCGCTGCAGGTGGTGCTAATGACAATCATGCCACCGCATTTGCAGCAGTACTCGTAGGCAGGCATTTTTGATAAACTTTGGTGGATTTGTTTTCTGTGGGAGAGGGCCTATTTTCCGCCTTGTTTGAGAGGTCGAAGTAGCTGAGGTGGACGTTCGTGTTGTGTTAGAGAGTTGAGACGATGGCTTTATTATATCTAGTCGAGAGACCAATGTCAGATAGAGAAGAGGGAGAAGGGAGAGAGGAAGTAGGAAGTACGAAAGGAGGGTATGAAGCTCTTTTTAAGTTCTCAGGGAAAGAAGGAGTCACATACGTATAACAAAAGCAAGACGGACCGAAGAGAGGGGGGTCCCCTAGCCCACGTTTTTGCGTGTGAGAGTGGGTGGTGGTGGGTGCCTTAACCGCACAGAAAATTCTCTCGAGGCAGAAGCTTTTTTGGTTCAACACCCAAGGCTTCACTTTATCGAGGCAAGCGGGGCGAAAGGAAACTTGAGGCGTACAGGCACTAAAGGTGACCAGTGGACAAGCGACGCGGGAAGTCTGACAAAAACACCAAGACCAGGCCAGACCATCGTCCATCGTCGAGTTGTGGAGCTGGAGGTGCAGCCGCTGCCTTGGGTGCTACAAGCACTCCGTAAGGGTATTCCCCACGGACGCTGACAGGGCTGCGATAGAGGCAAAATGAAATGCCATGACGCATTTCCGTCTGTCATGGCCACACCAAGCTGTCCTGGTTGGCTGCGTGCCGCCAACGGGGCTGTTGGCTAGTGGAGGCTCCATGTGCGTCGGGAGACAATCTTGCAGCCAAAGCCCGGCAGCTTGCAAAAACCCTGGGACTGGGGAACATTGAACAAGGGTGCCCTGCTTGCGGGTGTGATGATTCTGGTGTGAGCGCCTGACCATGGCCTGCCTCTGCCTTTTTGTGCGCCCCTTTTGGTCCGGATATCGGAGCAACGCGGCCTGCAATCAAGCACCTGTTCCTCGTCCGCTCTGGTGGCAAAATACGGACTCGGACGCGAGGAGCTTGCAGCCTGATGTTCCGGATGCCTGGACCTTGCTCGTCATACTGCTGCTCATGCGATTCGAACGTTAAATGTGATGTTGCTCACACGACCTGGCGGTTCCGATTCTTATTCGTTTCATCTCGCTTGCCCCCCAAGCCGCTCTTCGTCGGAGGAGTTTGAAAAATGCTGAGCACACATCGTACGACTGCCCACTCAAATCCCTCGGCGCCTTAATGTGCCGTCATCGTCTCTCTTAGCCCAGTACACATCTCAACTTGGCTGAAACAAGCCGGTACTCGTGCCCGCCCCACATATTTAGGCGGCTCGTTTTACTCACCACCTAAAGGTGGTGCTAGACACCAAGGCGGGCTACCCACCAAGGCGAGCTAATTTTTTAATATTAACGCGTTAACCCGCGAAAATAGCTGTAATTAACGTTTAGAATGTAAAAAGTAAAGTTAAATTACGCGTTATTAAGGCTCTTTAATTTATTAACGAAAATTTAGGTGTAAAACTTTAAGCTATAGCCTAGAAATTTAACGTGCCTTATATAACGCTTTAATAATAAGTTAATAGCGTTCTTATTAAAAAAGGTTATTTAATGGTAAATATAAAGCTTTTACAAGAAGAGAAAGTTACTTTATGTAATTATATTAATCGCCTTAATAAGGCCAATTTTATTATTTAAGTTAAATTTATTATAGACGCTATAAATTACATTTTAAAAGAGAGGGTATTATTAATAGCCTCGCTTAAGCTAATTAAATTACGATAAACTTTACGCTTTATTTAATAATATTAATATATTAAGTGCCTTTAAAAGAAGCTTAATTTAAATTATAAGGCTTTTAAAGATATTAAGAGAACCCTTTCTTATTTTAACGCTCTTTAAGCTATTATTTAATAATATAAAATCCCTTCTAATAACATTTAAAATATAAATAAGACTAGCTTTTATATTAAAATTAGCTAAGATTATTTAATTATTATAAAATAAAAA